GAGGAGGAAGTTGTGCTAGTAGATGTCCTCTGGACTCGAGCTGCAACATAAACTCTTCCCTGGATATCCAACCTGATGGCTAACCCTGCAGATTTTTGGATTGGCCAACCATAACAGAAATAGAAAATGGCCAATTAGAGATAATTCCTTAAAATGTCCAACTCTCTCTCTCTCTCTCTCTCTCTCTCTCTCTCTCTCTCTCTCTCCCTTTTCCCTTTACTGGCTCTGTTTCTCTGGATACTCTATACCCACCCATCAGCTGCACCATCACTCTCTGCCTCTTTTCTGGGCTAGCCTTCCCCCTCTTCATTCTTCTCTTTTCTCTCCCATTACTGGCTCCCATTCCTCTTTTCTGTAAGGCTCACTGTTTAGACTCCCACCATGTCCTTCTTAGAGAACTCACTCTCTCAATCAGCAACTGTGTACTGACTTGACACCTCTTGAAGTTAATTGGTTTTCTCTGTCAGTTATACAGAAGCAGGGGCGTGGCTTGTTCATAGGGTGGTGGTCCTAGGTGGGGGGAGGGACAAAGATAAGTAAGGTATGAGTTCTGTCCTGAAATGTCTTAACCAATTAAGAAAATAATGTCAGGCAAGGTAAAGCAATTATGTATACAACTATAACAGGGGGCGAGGGAGAACGGACTTGCAGAGTAAGAAAGCAGAGACCAGGGTGAGCAGAAGAAGGGAAGTTCCTCTAGGAGCACTTGGAAAGAAGCAAGGACCAGGGAAGGATCGTGGACAAGCAAGTCCATGACAGTGGGAAATGATTCTGAGCACAGCTTGGAAAAGTGCAGGACCTGGACAACAATGAGTAGACAGGAGTGAGGGGTAAATCCAGTCAGACACTAGACTGGACTCCCAGATTGAGAGTTCAATAAACATACAGTCACGTTCCACCTATGAAATTTTGCTAACATCCCATGGTCAGGGTTTCCAAACATCACTAAAGTCAGCTTCCTTGACCAACATCTCTTTTTGACAGTAGACAAGAAATCTGATTCTCTTCTAGATCATTCAGGATCAAAACCAAATGTCTGATTTGAGTCACCTAAGAGGGTGTTGCTCTCCCTCTCCTCATTTCACAGCCAGTCTAAATTCCTCTTCCTGACTGATAGTCTCCCCACTCTGGCCCTGCCTAACCACTCTGTCCATCTAGTCCCCAAAGCAAACCCGGTTTCAGCCAGGCCAGCCAGTCTCCCCTGTCATGTGGGCATACCACATTAATCCCATTAACCCCTGCCACACACTTCAGAATTCATCAATAACCAAATGAATTTCATGTCACCAATCACAACCAAGACTACAAAAAGTGTCCACCAATAGATGAATGGATAAGCATTATGTGGTATTGATATGTCACATTTTATTCATCCATTAAAAGGAATGAAGTACTGACACATGTTACAACATGGATGAACTTTGAAAACCTCATGATAAATGAAAGAAGCCAGACACAAAAGGCCACATATGTATGACCCTGTTTATAAAAATATGCAGAATAAGCAAATCCGTAGAGGCAGAAAGCAGAATAGTAGTCAGGGGCTGGGAAATGGAGAGTGGCTGCTTAATGGGTACTGGTTTCCTTTTGGGGTGATGAAAATGTTCTAGAACTAAATAGTAGTAATGGCTACACAACTGTGAATATACCAAACAACTTTGTACAGTGTACAATTTAAAATGGTTAAATAGGTGAGCTTACCAGTATGTTATATGTATTTTTTACTATCATTAAAATCAAAAAGCAAAGAACATCCATAATTAACATGTTTCTAAGTATGGTTCTCAGACCACCCATATCAGCAATATTCAAGATACTACTTAATAAAAATGACAGTTCCTGGGCTCCCCTGAGCAAGACACACGAAACTCAATTTCCAGCAACCTGTGCAGTGTTGCGTTAGCCTTCCAAAGCATCTCATATGACCTTTGCACACAGATTTGAAAATCAAACTACAAAACTTAAGACAGGAACTGTTTCCTTCATTTGCCCAGGCTAACATAAACCTGCTCAATGCGGGCTTTTTTGTTGAGCAGAGACAAAACGTTCATCTTTACATAAGGGGAGCACATGGTTCTCTCTCTTTCCACATGTCCAGGACTATGTTGGTTACAAGGAAGTGTCCCTGTGCTGTGTTTGCCACTCGACTGTTGGTCACTCTGTGAGTGTGTATCACTGCTAATAGGGGAGGGGTGGAATCTCCTTCATTCTTTATGTAAAGGCATTGAGAATTTATAGATTTCCAAAGGGAAATCTTATCATCATTCCTTCAAACCTCCTGGTATGGCAACAGGAAATCCACACTTCACACATTTTGTGCTGATTAAATGTATGGACTCAGAAATCATCCTTCAGATGCATAGGGAGGATACCAATCAAAATAATTTTAGGTCACCAATCAGAACCAGGTCAGCAAAAGTCTTGTTTTTGGAATTATGTGATGCTGTAAGTGGGCAGTAGGGTTATAATAATCTCCTGAAAGTTTTTCATGTTTGGCACACAAAGTCAACAAAGCAGTCAACAGTCTAGATGCCTTTGGATGTCATTAGCATAAAATGTTTAATTAACTTTTCAGTTTTCAAATGAAGATCTCAGCATATCAGCATATCAGTAACTCTCACATAGTCCATATTTAATTTCTGCTGCAACGGGACCATCTGATGAGAAGTGAACACTGAATAATGGGACTAAATGTTAAGAAATGTGTGATAAAATAAAAAGCCAGCACCGTGGGGCTAGTATTGATAACCTGAACAGGAAAAGAGATATTTTTGCAATTTTTAGATGGTTCCCTTTTTGGACAGCTGAGCAAATGCAACATATTCTCTGTGGCTACTTTGGTTCAAAGTTCTTTTCTGAACTGGTTCTACAACAATTTCCATTGGTCCCGAATGCCAGTGCTCAAGACAGTGTTGTATGGCACCAGCTGTAGGCATCAAAACATGGGCAGTCTTGCTTCAGGAGCAAAAGTTGTTTCTAGGATTATCTGCTATGCTGGCTGGGTTTTGCCAATCAATATGCAACTACTCATGAGCATCACCTACTATGTGCAAAGCATTTTACCTGGTGCTGTGGGAATGCAAAGAAAGGCTTCAACTGTTTATAATCCCCAGATAAGTATATAGTCTGCATTATTTTACTATGCACACAGATATGCCTGGCTGGAGTGTCTGTTTTGAAGGAGTGATGGCGAGAAGACAGGGAAGATGCCATATTGTGGCTGGGGAGCGGGGGCGGGGGAGCGGCCAGAAGAGAACCAGTCAACCTTGAAGTCTGGCCAAACATTCAAGGCACAGGACACTTTAAGGCAGTAAGTCTGTCAAATGAAAAAGCCTAAAGCAGGTGTTTGTCTCTCCACCCCTACCTGCAAGACCATTGCAGGTGCCACCTGAAAGTGTTCTGAACTGACCTAACTCAGGGTAGTTGGCTGAGAACCTATTCTCTAATAAAACATTTCAGAAGGTGGGTCTTTATGAAGTCTGGGTTTTTCTTTCACGACCTTAAAGAGACATGTTAAGAACCACCACTAATCCTGTTGCATGAGAGAATATGACCTAACAAGTAGCATATGGGTTAGGTGAGGACATTTTAAATTACCAACCAATTCTGTGGGAGAGGCAAGTTACACATTTCTTGTCAGGATGGCTCTGAATCTGTCAAGCCCGGTACCTAAATAGCTTCCCACATTTCCACCCCACCAGTCCCTGCACCAGCCCCTCTGCCCAACCTAGGCACCAGAGCCCTGTCTGTAAAATGGCCAGGGTCTCCACGTGGTGGCCAGTGCGCAAGGGAAGTCCACTCTGCTTCCCCTAGGATGGCTTCAAAGGATGGAGGTAACTCATACAAATAATCCCTTTAACTCCTCTAAGTGGCCATTAACTGAGAGAAAAAGTCACTGTGCCCCCAGGCTGCTCTCTAGGAGAGGGCTTTGTGAGAGTAGCGGTGGTCTGCAAGAGGGTGGCAATGTACAGAAAACAAGGACGATGTTGTCCTGGCAAAACACAGTCTGCCCTTGATCCTGATCCCAAAGGGTCCTGGGTTGGAAGCCTCGCCACAGGCGGTGGGCCCACTCCCCTAAGCCCTCTCCCCAGGGCATCCGGGTTCTGGGTGAGCAGCCACCCAGCGGGAGACACGGGCCACCTCACCCCAGGGACCAGGCCTGGCTGACCCTCTGTCTCGCGCCCCCTAGGGAGGACCTGTCCGACAACCCCTGCTCCCCGACGGAGAGGAAAGCGAGGGTCCTGCCCTCCCTGTGCACTCGGCTCCCCGCAACGGAGGAGCCCGTCCAGTTCCCCGCGCTCCCTCCAAACCGTCCTCACTCCCTGCACCCCGAGGGAGGCCTGTCCTGCGCCCCGAGCCCGGGGCGGGCCCGTGCTGGCCACCGCACGCTCGCCTCTCCGTGCGCCCGGGAGCG